TGTCGATAGTCGTGTTGCCATCGCCGTGCCTCTTGGCGACAAATGCCGGCCTCTTCTGTAGCTTGGTCGGCTGGCAGAGCGTCTGTTCTGAGGGCGCTAAGACCGTATGAACTCGTTCGGCCACGAGGCCCGACCAACAGTTTGACGGCGTGGTCTGTATGGCGTCGGGATGATGCTCTTTGGTAGGTCAGGGAAGGTCGAGATGACATAAAATTATGGGTGAGTGGGAGACATCGTTTCACGTTTCCGACTCGAAAATAAGCGATAATTGCTTATGAAAAAGAACTTTAGTCAATTTAAGTCACTTAAATTGATGAAGGGTTAATAGCAAATTTTCACAAAATCAGATGAGCAAGCTTCAGAATGCCGTTTGATTTCCTTTAGCCTCACCTCACAACGACTAATGTCATCCACATTCGACTGGACTGCAGCTTCTATCTCGCCAAGACTGGTTTCCTCACTCTCTCCAACGGGACTCGAACCTGGGTCGTGGTAAGGCAGAGCAATTTTGGCATGCTACTACTACGCCACATTGCCACGAGTACACGTGGTTCCTAACAAGGATATGATTTCCTCTCCCGAAGAACATATTTCTATGGTGTAATTTTCGCTAAACAAATATGTATTTGCCATTAGAGTTGACAACGTAACCTGTATTGAAATTTATTAGTATTTTAAGACTATCAGTAGATTTTAAATAAGATCTTTAATCACTCCCAGCTGCTTAAGGTGATGAAGGAAAGATTGTGAATTTTTCCACAATCATCTGAGTAGGCTTCATGATACAATTGAATTTTACATAGCCTTGCTTCCCAACAGGTATTCCCATCCAGAGGGAATAGGCTCAATGGGAGTGATCCCGAGACGAGCGAACAGTTCAGTCCTGTCTAAATGAGAATGCCGTTTGGGAAGCAAGGCTACGTGAAATTCATTGGTATCATAAAGCCTACTCATCTGATTGTGGAAAAATGCACAATCTGTCCTTTATCATCTCAAGGGACCCGACATGACTAAAGCTTTTATTCAACATATAGTGATAGTCTTGAAATCGAACCCACACCGCAATTTGGGCCTCGCTGATAAAACCTGTAATCACCATATTTCGTGGAAGGTGACGAATGATTAATAATTGAAATTTACCACAATCATGTTAGTAGTGCCAAAGTTTGCATTAAATTTCATATAGACTTGCTTCCCAAAAGATATTCTCATCTAGGCTGGAGTGAATTGCAATTTCGACCTCGCCTAGGCCTCATCAGAACCCAGGGCGGAACTCGAACCTTGGTTGTGAATGTGCAGAGTATTGTCGTGACGCCTTAACTACTTCGCCAGATTGCCACAAATGCCGTTGGGCCATGGGGCAGAAGTTACTTTCAAAGAGGCCTAGGCATTTCCATGGTTGGACTGGCAACGAAGCAAAGTTGCATTCGCTGTGGAAATCTACCACATAAATGATAGTTTTTGATGAGTAAAGTGTTAAGACTATACGCTGTACTACCACAACCCGAATTCGAGTCCCGCTGGACGTGCTGATAAGATCAGTTCAGGTGAAGTCGAAAATATTGTACACTTCTGATTGGATGAGAATACTATATGGGAGGCAAATATATGCGAAATGGAATAAAAATCACGAGTCACATTTATGTGATTGTGATAAAACTCAACTAACAGTCCTCCTTAACCTTCAACGAAGTAGGGTGGATACAGCTTCCATATCAGATCTACTGGTAGTCTCTAAAGCCTAATAATAAACAAAAAATATACCTCGTCCCACTGCTATATCAGCACTAGAACCATATTCGAGCAAGTCGAAAAAGGACTGGGAGTTGACTTTTCCCAAACTCATATGAATAGACCTCACGTTTCCAAAGGAATTCACATAGTCTTTCATCCGAATAGGTATTCTCATTCCGGCTAGGCTGAACGGGCACCAGAAGTCAAGAAGGTATACGTTAATTTCAAAATTAAATTAAATTGTTAGTTGAAGTGTGAGCCAAAAATCAAGCAAAGGACTTTGGTCACATGGTGTCAGGTGAAAAGCCAATTTTAAGGGGATTGTATGGATAAAACCACAAAATTTGACAAACTACTAATGGTGTAGTAAGTAGCATTTCTTTCGCGCCTACTATGAGCCTAATTAATCGCAAGTTGTTATAATTCAAAAGTATGGCCTATGAGGTCGCTTAACCTGTCCGACTTGGGTTCGAGTCCCGGCGGGCGTCTGATGAGGCGGTGGGGAGAGATCGAAACTGTGATGGAGCCGGTAGAGGAAGGCGAGATTTTTGGAAACATGGCGATGTGACATTTAATGAGAGGAGTCACTGTTTGTGAAACCGAAAAGCCGGTCAAACAAATGCTACCTTGACACGAAAGAAAGGAGGCTAAGGCAACTGTCGACGCTGAAAAAGGGGCCAAGTGTGTCTCGACGATGACGACAAACGCGAAGGTGACCGATCGTGGCCTCGATCCGAGCATGGACAGGTTGGCGACAAGGTCAGGCGTCACGAGCTCTTTCCGCACCAGAAATTACGCCTTGGCTCAGATTAAAAACTCGTTCAGGTCGGCAGGCCACGTGGACAACGGGAAAAGGCAATTGCAACTCGCAGCCGAACAGAATGACAACGCAATAACTCGGATGGAGACCGAACTTCCGGTGGAGAGAAGAAGTCTGCAAGATGCACAATTCGGGCTAGGCTAGAGGTAGTCGAGGATCGATTGTCGTTTAGCAAAAAGCGCAAATCACCACAGCTCCGGACACACAAGTTAGCGTCTTGGAAAAACCGGTTGGGTTATCTGAGAAAAGCTTTCTTGACATGAGCAGAAATAGGTTCAATCGTGCGGAAGCAAACACGATTTGACCTGAATTGGCCAGTCGCAAATTCTGCACAGAACCGACGTCGGACGACTTCTCTGGCTTTGCTGATGAGGCTGGTGAAGAGGAATTCTTAAATGGCGGCAGAAGACGTCTCAATGACCGACATAACGCACCAGTTTTAGATGATGCCGGGCAACTCACGACACCAATCAACTCGAAACCCTATTTTCTTTCAGACCTTGCCTCGATGTGGAGTTAGGCCCTCGTAATCTGTAACCTACCTTTGCATGTCTGAGGTTTGAGTCCGACTGAAAGAGTTGAAACTGCAGGCAAGCGGGGATGAACTCGGTATTGTGGCCACTTGAGTTTCGAGGCAAAGTACCGGATGAAGCAATTCGAAGAATTCACATCGTTTACAGAACTCTACCTTTCTTTCCACTTGACAGACATGCCCAGAACTAGCCCCCTTCATATGACCTCCAAATTCACAACAACTATAACTACTACAACAACGAAAATGTACGAGACAGACCAACCCAGACCCTTTCGCACATTTAACTGTCGCTGCATGGCTTCTTTCCAAAAAGATGCGCCCACATGTGAAGTAGTTTATAAAAAAGACCAAGTGCTTTGTGCGTTTAGACTCATTTTTAGGGAGACACTTGGCGAAAAGTTCAGATCCGACACGAGAAACTTGTGCGCCAATGCGGTCGTCCTATTCACCAAAGGGTAGATACAATTTTTAATGCTTGTAGGGCAGACTATGAGAGGAGGCTGGGCACAAGGCAAAAAGTGAAAACGAGCGGTAATGAACTGAGAAGCGATCTTGATACGTCTGCTGCTATAGAAACGGGAAGATTTGGGGATACAGTGAATGCAGAAAATGTTAGGATCATTAATACTTGATTGATAAACTCAACAAAAAGGAGGAAGAGAGAGAGGGCGTTTTGAGACATCCAAATGTTTCTGACAACATTCACATTCATTCTTTGCAACTCTAAAGCTTGTCAACTCCAACATATATATAATTGGGATTACGAGCTATTTGCAAATGACGTTACAATTTGCCTTAGTTACACAGTGCTACCACTGGGGCACGAAGACACTCACCGTCAAGCACACATTAAAAAGAAACGAGTAACAAAATTTCCATTTTTTTGTATCATTTGGGTCGCAGCTGTAATTATATTTGCATTTTGATTTAAACTTAAGTGTCCGTAGGAATATGATACAGTTTTGACGATCAGTCATATAAAAAAGGGGAGAGATTTCTAGTGAGATTGACTAACGAACCAGGCCCTTTTAAACAAAAATAATTTTTCATTTTTTTACAAGTAGGTTTTCGAGACTATC